ATATTCCAACCACAAAAAAGTTAAAAATAAACTCCTTACAAAAAATCATGAAACTTATGACATATCTAATATATCATGAAATGTATGGCGTATCCAACACTTCATGATCATCTTCATCAAGCATATCTGAATCAGCTTGTGGCAAGGTTGTCTTAACATCTTCATGTTCATCTGCAATTTATATGCGGTTTCAATTAGTTAAATATTAAATAGATTTTGAGTTTGGACTCTCTTTAATTTTAAATTTTAATATTATATTATATTTTTTAAATTATTTTTATTTGGCCCACGGGCCGGCCCTACCTATATTTCTCAAACCCCACAAATTAGCAGGCTTATTCAGGCCAGGCTAAATAGCCCTTTTCTTAAATGGGCTCCAAAAATCTTAGCCCAGCCCTATTAAATTCTGGGTTAGGCCAGGCCGGCCCAACGGGCCTAGCCCATATTGACGGCTCTAATAAAAAGAAACACTACGATTTTTGGATAACTAATTTTGCGATAATTCATTTCGTGATTTTATCCAATCAAACATGGGATAAACTCATCTTAAATTAATTATTTCTTATCCTTTATATCAAACAAGCCCTAAATGATAAATTGTCTCCTGATGTATTTTTTTTTTCCACCTACTTGTGAGAAAGAAAAAGTCTCATAAACTATTTTCAATTGTGTGTATTATTGTGGTTAATTCAACAATACTATCGATCATTTCTTTTTGAATTATAACTATTAGAGCTGTCAATATGGGCTAGCCCACCCCATCCGGGCTAACTCATACAGGCTTTGACATTTTACAGGCCAGGCCGGGCTAGCCCATTTTTTGTGTGGGCCAGAAAACGATCGGCCCAACCCACAAGTACGTGGGCTACAGGCTTGCCGGGCCAGCCCACTTTTTTAAAAATTATATATTTTTTTATAATTATTAAATTAAATTATAAAAAAAATCATGAAACTTATGGCGTATCTAATACTTCATGAAGCATATCTGAATCAACTTGTGGGAAGGTTGTCTTAACATCTTCATTTTCATCTGCAATTTATATGCGGTTTCAATTAGTTAAATATTAAGAAATAACTAAATTGAGAATTATAATATTTAAATGTACACAAAAATATATTACCAGTTTGAGAAAAACCATGTAACCAATTTCGAGTAGCATCAAGTGTTTGGACATTTTCATGATGGATGCCACTTCTATACTTAGTGAGAACACGTCCACCAATGCTGAATGATGATTCTGATGATACAGTGGTAATAGGAATACTAAGTACATCACGGGCCATTATTGAAAGTTCTGGATATCTTTTAGAGTAATCCTTCCAATACATGAAAACATCCATATCTTGAAATTTTTCATAATCAAGCTTTGGTTCTTCTAAGTAAAGATCTAATTCTGACTTCCCATCGCTAGAAACAGTTTCATTCTCAAATGCTTTAAATTCCTATGAAGTTAAAAACATGAAAATAGTTAATACATGTAAGAATAGTAAAGACAGTAATACACAAAGAAAAAATATTTGATATAGTTAGAAATATATTCAATTTTTAACAAGATGAAAATTACTTACATTAAATACTTTGAATCCTTTGGGTTTCCTCCTAGCTTCACTTGGTGTAGTCCGAATAGTTGAAGAAGCACTAACAACATTTTGCTTGTTTGTATAATGATCGAAAAGCTCATACAATTTATTCTTCACAAGTGAGATCTTTTTTTGTGTGGAAATAGAATCCAACTTAGAATAACAAAAACTTAAAAATTGTAATTTCATGCGGGGATCAAGAATTGCTCCAAATGCAAGTACTACACTATATTGCTTCCAGTATTTTTCGAACTTCTCATGCATCTTTGAAGCCATATCCTTAATAACTTTATCTTCATTATTCAACTTCTCTTTCAGCATGCATTCAATTCTCCAAATTTGCATAAAATTTGGATAACTTGAACCAGAAATCAAATTTGTTATCTCATGAAATGGCTCCAAGACTTCACATATTTTTTCAGCCCTTCTCCATTGATCAAATGTAGGATAGTGTGTATAATTTCTATCATGTAAATGTAGACTAGAAAAAACTTTTTCATATGGGAGAGCACTTTCAAGCATCAAATATGTTGAGTTCCATCTAGTTACTACATCTAAACGTAAACCAAGATTAGTTTCAATTCCAACTTGCTTAACACATTGCTCAAACTTTTGCATTCTCCCATCTGATCCTCTAACATGCTTAACACTTTCCCTAATTGCAATCAAGGAATCAATAGCTGCCTTTAACCCTTCTTGAACAATCAAATTCAAAATATGAGCAGAACAACGCACATGAAAGAACTCACCATCACACACCAAACTATTTTGCAAATTAAGATGCCCTTTTAAAATAGTTTGCAAACTATCATTGGCAGTAGCATTATCCAAAGTAATAGAAAATACCTTCTTTTCTATATTCCATTCTTTCAAGCAGTCGTATATAACAGCAGCCATTTCAACTCCAGTGTGAGGAGGATACATACGACAAAAGTTTAGAATTTTACAATTCAACCTCCAATTTTCATCAACAAATTGAGCTGTTAAACAAATGTATCCCTCAGAAGTAGATGATGTCCAACAATCAGAAGCCAAACATACTCTATTAGAAATTTTAGCCAATTCTTGTTTCAATTTCTCCTTCTCTCTAATATACATTTTTCTTATATCTGCAACTTCTGTGTTTCTACAAGGCATCACAACATCTGGACTTATATAATTTATCCAATTCCTAATTCCATCATATTCAACAAAAGAATACGACAAATTATGCTTAATAATAGCTTCTGCAAGCATTTCACGTTGTATTTGTTGATCAACTTTTCTAGACTGTAGTTTGCCTTCTTGATTAATGAACATATGACCCAGATTATGAAATTTAAGCATTGGACATACCTCCTTATGACGACATAAATGTGATGTCCCATAATTTGTACCTTTGGGAGTTGTACCAACTTTAAAAATTGCAATTTTACAGCCAGTACATTTTGCTCTTTCAATTCCATCTTCCCCTTTGCCAATGTTTGTGAAATATTTCCACACATCTGATGTTGTTGGTTTGGTTTTTTTTTGCTTTGGTTCTACCGGCTCAGTTTCCTCACCACTATCTTCACGTATAATATTTGTGTCATCCATTAATTTTTCTATTTTCCTATGATAACATAAAAAAAAAAGATAATAAAAAAAAATTCATAAAAAAAAAAAATTCACATCATTTAGTCATTTAGATAGTGATAGATCTAGTCTATATGTATCAAATAATTTTTACGTAACAAATTATGTTTGACTATAAATGCAATTGCTATTGCAATATTAACTTAGATTATTGTAAGAGCTTATAATGTCAAATTTTGAATTTGTTTATGCGTTTAGGGTACATCGAGCACATAGAATGAACATCGAATAAAAAATAATAAATTAAAAATATAACAAAATTAAAGAATTGTAAAATAAAGAGGGAAAAGTAAACTTACTTGTTTTTACCAGAGAATAAGCTTGAATAGTGATTCCTTAGAAAATTACTTGGACTACTAGTCTACTACCACCAAGAGAAAACAAACTAGTAAGAGAACTAGAGAAGACGGCTGCGGATGGTGAATAAATAAACTACGGTCTATTAGTGATTCCCTAAAGATTTTAGGGAATTAAACTTTAAATAGATTTTGAGTTTGGACTCTCTTTAATTTTAAATTTTAATATTATATTATATTTTTAATTAATTTTTATTGGCCCACGGGCCGGCCCTACCTATATTTCTCAAGCCCCACAAATCAACAGGCTTATTCAGGCCGGGCTAAAAAGCCCTTTTCTTAAATGGGCTCTAAAAATCTTAGCCCAGCCCTGTTAAATCCCGGGTTAAGTCAGGCCGGCCCAACGGGCCTAGCCCATATTGACGGCTCTAATAACTATTTTAAACAAGAGAAAGATTATCCACTCAAGGCACATTGATTTGTCTAAACATATGAGTGATGAGAAATGAGAAGCCCACACAAATGATGGAGGAAGCACCATTCATATGGGACTCTTCTATATAAGTCCGTTTTCTTCTCGGTAGGGCCCCATAAGGTAGTTTTAGGGCTTAGCCCAATTTTTCCCATATATATACTAGTTAAAGGATAAACGATACAAATTTCACTAGTTTGAGAGTAAATTATTTCACTTCACGTGAGTTAACAATATTACGAATCTTATCAGAATTTGGACTTTGAAATATACATGTACATGTATCTTGGATACATGGGTCAAAATCAGGGTTCTAGATATATTATATCCAAGTTGATTGTCATGTATGAAACTTCAGTAAGCAGTGTTGATATTTATAGAAGGCAAGTTAGAAATTTAACTATCGCACTTATAAATAAATTACATCCTTAACTCATTGGTTTAAATTAGTTTTAAGCTAGAGGAGGTCTAGGGTTCGATACTACTTAACCACATTTTTTAGAATGAGTACGTTATATTTTGCAAAAATAAGCTTAGAATGAGGTTTGAACTCGCCACCTAAAGCTTATATTTTTCAAAAATAAGCTTAGAATGAAGTTTAAACCCTCAACCTCAAACACTAAAAGTGGACGATGAACCAACACTAGTCTATTGTTTTCAATTAATAGTGTCATTTTGTTATACATATCCCTTTAAACATAGTATTAATATATATTTAGTAAAAAAAATCTGACAAAAGGGTGTCGACACCCCTTCGCTCAACGTGGGTCTGCCCCAGCTGTTATGAAATTATTAATTAGTGCGACAATATTTAATTGTTTCAAATTATAAAGAGAATTAGTAAATATGGTAGGGATATTTATGTAATGAGATATTTTTCCATAAAACAATGGTGTATGTATATGACTACTCAAAGACAGATCATTGTAACTTCAAAAATCTGGAAAGAGGACTTATCCAGAAAGTTCAGAAATGTAATATGAAAATATACTCAAACCAAGATTAAAACCTTGCTTTAATTAACCTAATTACAACCATTAATATAAAAATATGACACATCTCAAGCATCCAAATAAGAAGTTGAAGAGATAGAACAAAATCCATAGATAATAACATTAAAATAACAAAATTAAGTACTACGCACGCTGTGCAGTTGCACTTTTTGCATCAATAAGCTTGGTTACAATTTGATAGCATGAATGAACTTGATACATCGCCAATTTCACCTCCTCGATTGCCAATTAAGACGAATTGAACCTTCACTAATGACAGGTTTCATAACATCGATGCCAACTTCACCCAACAACACTTCTAGTGTACTACTCAGCATCTTTGTCTTCTTAAGAGAGAGGGGAATTTCCCCCCATAAAACAGCAACAGATCTCCATTATTTACAATATCAATTTCCATAGACACAAAATGATAAATTATTTATTGATTTTATAAACTGGACAAGTAATGTCGGACATCCCAAAATAGTATAATAAACAAGTAAAGATAGACAAAGAGAGGGAGCAACTATAATTCACATTCACGACTCCACAAGGATTGTCTAACATTAATTGGGAATGTAACACCAGGTAAAAAAAAAAAAAAAAAAAACTAAATGTTGGTTTTTTAGTAATAATTGTATTTGTTTCTGTTGCTCCTAAACGCACACGCAAATATACGCTATTGTACAAATGATAAAGTGATCTAAAAGTCGACTATCGAATTCACAAATACTTATGATATTGTACTCTGCTTTCAGACTTAACTACTACCTATTTCCTCTAGTTTACCTTTTTCTCATTTTAAGCTAACTTTTCTATGTAGCGCTAATCAACTTGACAAGTCCCACAACTTTTCTTTATCAAAAGGAATCTTGAGTTATGAGGGGAGTTGTCTTGGTGAGTGAACACAGTAGAGTAGTTGTGTTGTAAAAATTAAAGGATTACTGAGTGAGTTAATGTTGGAAAAATATTGTACTTAATATCTCAAAGAAATTATTCCATCTTCAATGACATTTGAAAGAGAATTGATTCTATAGTTTTAATGGCATTGGATGCTTATGTTGGATAGTTTTTGCCTGAGAATGCGATTTCATTTACAAAAAATTTAAAGTTTGTTGTGTATAAATATTAGACACTGACGTGAATATTTTTTAAATGAGACGTATCTAATCCTCACAAAAAAATAAAAAAGAATTTTATAAATTTCATTTTTAGTATTCAAAGAATTATGCGGAATGGGTTGAAATAAGAATTTTACTATGCAGAGTCTTCACGGATTTATGCGAATTTCCACTCCGTACTTGAGCTGCTAAGGGCCAAGATAAATGCTCTAGTACCACTTGAGCTGCTTTTTTTTTTTTTTTGGATTAAAGGGACACAAACAGAAAATTAAATAACTGAGAGCAACATTGATTTTTCATTGTAATGGTAGCACATCCAAATAAGAACATGAAGAAATAACAACACTAGAGAACCAAATCAAGTTATACTTATTACTACTCACTTGCAGTTGCACTTGTCGCATCAGTAATTAGCTTGCTTGCAATTTGATAGCATGAATGAACTTCATACATCGCATATTTCACCTCCTCCTCCGATAGAACCGAAGACGATTGCCAATCAGGACGCATTGAACCTTCACTAATCACAGTCTTCTTGATATCAATGCCAACTCTACCCAACAACTCTTCTAGTGTACTACTCAGCAGATCTGGCTTCTTACAAAGCTTACCACTCAAATAACCAACATCAACAATTCTATTCAATACTAATTTTTGGCCTCTACTTCCAGATATATATGACTCAGTAGAATTCTGGCACAAGTGTCTAGGACCTATAAAAGTGATACTTTTGTCCCCCAGAAGCTCATTAAGAGGAGAGGGGATAACAGTTAGATCATCCAAGAGCATCATCCGATTAAATTGAATAATTAGGCACCGATTTTTCACATGAAACAGCAACAGATCTCCATTATTCACAACATCGATTCCAACAAATGGATCTGGAGTTTTCAATTCACTCCTAAGTGCCGAAATGCTACTGATCGCCATAGCTTCGCGGTCAGTGACGGTTGTGATGACAGTCTCCTCACCAATTTTCACATTGTAAGTGCTCGCTTGGACCAGCCAAGAAAGGGGCAAGCGCTCTGACATTTTTTCACTCTTAATACATTGTCTCCGAAAACTATGCGCTCCGATTTTTAGGCGGCAACAAAGGAAGTATTTATAGGATGAAAAATCCTTGGATTTCTGAGCAAAATACGAAGAATTTCAAAATTTCTGGACGGATATTTGGGTGAGCTGTGCGTAAGATCGGTACGAATTTGAGATGAATCTCGAAAAGTAAAACGGAAAATTGGAGAGATATTACTGAAGGAATCGCTTGGAAGCTTGAGGGAAGAGAAAAGGAAGAAAAGAGGCGCGCGTGGGTTTGCTGAGGGAGGAAGAGAGTGAGAGTACGTGGGGTATAAAAGGGGGTGTACTAAACGGATTAAACCGAATAACCAAACCAAATCAAATCGAATTTTTATTTGGATTGATTTTTTGGTTTTTCGGATTGGTTTTAGATTAATAAATTACTTTGTTTGGTTTTTTGGTTTGGTTTCAAATTTTAAAAAATAAAAATCGAAAAACCGACAAAAATTGTGTTTTAAGTTTTACTTATGATTTATATTAGAAACAATATTTAAGGGATTAAATATTATTACTTTGGTTATAAATGTTATTAATTATTGATATAACCGAATAACCAAACCGAAAAAAGCCGAACCGAATAGAGGAAAACCAAACCAAACCAAATTGGATCGGATTGGGTTACACTTTTACAAAACCCAAAATCAAAAATTCAAACCGAATAGTGTAAAATAAAATCAAAAAACCGAATGCAAACCCCTAGGATATAAGGGATTTGATTTTCTTAGTGCCTTTTGTTTTTCCATGTCCACATTAGTGGGATACAATATTTTCGTGCAAGTAGTCGGTGACCTTTTATTGTTGGGACTCTTACAAAATGTTGTGCCACCTTTATTTATTGCTTCAAAAATGTAAAGTATATTCCTACTCTTTTCTATTTTATAAAATTTTCTTAAATATTAGACATTCGAATACATAATTGGTTGTCTAGATACATTAATTGTGATACATTATATATGTGGCTGTTGCGTTAAAAAGGGAAACAAAATAGAAAATCAAATCAAAATCTCATAATTTACACTATTCAGTTCCTTTTTACTGTGTCAATCAAAGAAATGTAAATCCTAAAATAACTGACCAATTCAAAATTCAAAATTCAAAATCCATGTTCATCTTTGTCCCTGTTTCAGCGAAGAAACTTTCGAGTAGGATTCAACACTTTTGTTGAAAATTTGATAAGATACATAATGAATATTTTGATTTTTGACTGACACTCTCGAAGGAAGAAAAAATCGAAGATCATAGCTTTTGGGTTCTTCAAATTCTACACAAATCTCACTATGATTGACAACCAGGACCTGGGTTTCCTTGCCAACTTTCTTGGTATCTTTATTTTGTGCTGGTGGTTGCTTATCATTGTGTGATGGCAAATCCCAAATATGAAGGCAATTGAAAGTTGTTATTTTATAATTAGCTTGGGCAAAAATAGTTATGTTTATTTTCCATAGCTTTAATTTTTGAGTTAAAAGATCTGATAACAAAAGATAAGCAACACATATTCTTGTGCTTTAATCATTATTTTGCCATTCATGAATTTGTATATTGATCGATAAGTCATGATACATTAATGGTTAGAACTTGATACATTAAAACTTTGACGTATAAGTTATGGGTTTGCAGATTTGTGAGTTACTGTAATGTTAATATAAAGTATCAGATACATGTGAATTTCTTTTTTGATTTTTGAATTTGTATATGCATATATAAATCATGATACATTACTGATTTCAACTTGATTTATTTCTAGTTTGAACGTATATGTGAGTTAGTGTGTTGTTAATATAAGTATATGAATTTCTTTATCAATATATGAAGGTATGTACCAATTTATAAACTATCGTGTATCTAGAGTTAGTTATCATTAGGTTGTTGTGTATCTTAAATTGAGTTAATTGATATGTGATGTATCTCTAACTTCCAAATGTGCGCAAGTTGTTCCGTCTTCTAAATTTATTTATTCAGTGTATAAAGGTGGGCGAAGATACGTACATTGTTTGCCTATAGAGAAAAATATGTAACTGTGGGAGATTTCAGCATAACGAGATACCTTGTGCGTACGCAATTGTTGCTGTGAAGAGCAAATGCATTCCTACTGCTCTGATTACTACAAATTAGTTGCATTAGAAAACACGTATGAAGTTCCAATGGTTCCAATACCGAATAAGGACGATTGGTCAGTACCGAATTTGTTTTGGAAGAAATTGTCTTGCCACCTAGGTACAAAAAGATGCCTGGATGACCAACGAAAAGAAGGGAAAAAATCTAGATGAAAAGATAAGCACAAACACAAACTGTTGTGGACGTTGGAAAATTAGGTGGGTGGAGAGGAGACAATAAATTTGAAATTTTCCTACTTTTATTTTTTATTAGGAAAGTCATTTTGCTCATTTTTCAAGAAACTTGTAATCAAAAATAGGAAAATTAGAAAAGATGTTGAAAAATATTTTCCTCCGTACCAAACAGTGTCTTCTTTAAAAGTATCATTGACATTCATGGTTACGCAACTCGCAAAGATGTCCAACATTATTTAGGAAAGGATGTCCATAGATTTCCAGAATACAAAAAATGCTTAAGAAAGAGAGGACTCGGCAACCTATCATTGTAATCGTAGCACATCCAACTAAGAAGTTGAAGAAATAAAGACACGGAGAGGAATAGAATTTATAAATAACAGTACTACAGAACCATATCAAGTTACTACTCATTTGCAGTTGCACTTGTCGCATCAGTAATTATCTTGCTTGCAATTTGATAGCATGAGTGAACTTGATACATTGCCAATTTCACCTCCTCCTCCGATAAAACTGAAGACAATTGCCAATCAGGACGCATTGAACGTTCACTAATGAGAGGCTTTTTAATAACTGTTAAGATCTTAGCTACTGCCTAATTATATACTGAGTCAGCATGTTAGTTGTTGATTCTGTTGGTTTGTTACATAACTAACTAGTTGAGTAGGTTAGTTAGTTTAGCCACATCATTGTATATAAATACATACTGACGTCTTCAATAAAAAACAATTTTCATTTTCTCTAAGTTGATCCACATTATGAAAGATGCTCCTATGGAGCTTGTATCAATGGTGGAGTCCTGAGTTTGACATGGTATCAAAGCTTAGATGAAGATTCGACAGGGGATTTCATCTTCGCATCAATTCCTCTTTTTCTCTGGCCTTTGTTGCCATTGATTGGATTTCTTTTCTTCTACTTTCTACTCTTGTTTGATTCTCATGGCGATTGATGAATCGACATCAACTGCTACTACCAATGTTACAGTAGGTGGACCCAGCCTAATTGATTCAAACAATCTGTTGTACTTGCATCCTTCAGATAACCCTGGTGCAGCACTCGTTCCAATTCCTTTTGATGGAGGAGGTTATGGATCATGGCGACGGAGTGTACTCCGAGCACTCTCGGCGAAGAACAAATTAGGTTTTGTCAATGGCGACTATAAGAAACCTGAAATCAATTCCATCCAATTCCGGCACTGGGAATGTTGCGATGACATGGTTACATCGTGGATTCTCAATTCTCTATCCAAGGAAATTTCGGACAGTGTGGAATATGTCAACAATTCGATGGAGCTTTGGAAGGAGCTTGAAGATCGATATGATCAGACGAATGGGGCAAAACTGTATCAGATCCAGAAGGAAATCAACGATCTGACCCAAGGTACTCTTGACATCACTGCATACTATACCAAGATGAAGAAATTGTGGGAAGAACTCAACAATCTCTGCACTAAGAATCATTGTACTTGTGTGTGTTCGTGTGGAGCAAAGGAAAATGTGCATAAGGTGAGCATGATCGTCGTTTGATACAGTTTCTCATGGGATTAAATGAGGTATACATTGTTGTAAGAGGGAGTATTCTTATGTTGAATCCCTTACCTTCCATGGCTCAAGCTTTCTCAATTCTGATTCAAGAGGAAAAGCAACGAGAGTTCAAACCACACAATGTGATGAATATGGACTCTGCTTCACTTAATGTTACTTCTTCGGGGTCCAAAAATTTCAATTATGGATCCACCAGTAATACAGGACGCTCATCTACAGGAAATTATGTGGACAAATCTTAATTGTTTTGCGATTACTGCAAAAGAACAAGACACATAGTAAAGAATTGTTATAAGCTTCATGGATACCCCCAAAACAATCAGAATGAACATAACAAGCAGAATCCACCAGCTCAGCATACTAAGAGTCCACATTTCAATAGAAACACACATGCATATAACTCTAATCCCAACTACAATTACAAACGAGTAGCAGGGAATGTTCATGGTACACCAGTTGATTCGCTGTTCAATGAAGAGGACAATCAAATGAAGAAGGATACAGTTGACAATGTAAGTTTGTCAAGGGAGAAATACCACAATGTTATGACAATGCTGCGTCACTTCCCAGTGAACAATGCTGGAGCAATTGCAGATAGTCTTGATATGGGTAATGGTTCTGTGAACTTTGCAGGTAACGTAATTTGTACTTCCTCTATTGATCTTGGTAAATTTTCATGCAAATATTTTGAATCAAAATCTGACTTGTGGATCCTAGATTCGGGGGCATCGAACCACATGACTTTTCACAAATCCTTCTTGACAAACATTAGACCTTTACCATATCCTATTTTGATAAGCCTACCAAATGGATATAAAGTAAAAATGACTGAGCTAGGAGATGTAACACTTATACCTAAGATCACATTGTATAAAGTATTGTATGTGCCTTCTTTCAAGTTCAATCTCATCTCCATACATTCTTTTACTGTTCCTTTAAAAGGCACTGTAACATTCACTGACACTACTTGTCTATTGCAGGCCCCTTCAATGAAGAGGCCTCAGGAGATTGGTAAGTGCAAGGGATGGTTTTATATTTCTTGTGCTCAAGATGCTTGATGGATAACAGTGCTGGGAGAGCTGCTAGTACTTCTTGTTTTTCCATTTCCAATTCTGTCATAGAGAATTCTACATATTCTTCTCATTCATGTCTTTTACATTCACCTGTAATTGGCTCCAATTCACATAATAATAATGAGCACACTGTCTTGAATTCAGTCTTGTTCCCTAGAGATAATGAAGATTTGTTGTGGTATAACAGGCTTGGTCATGTACCTTTTGCAAAGATGAAAGTCATAATTTCCATACATGCAAATTTTAAAACCAAACAACCATTTGTCTGTCCAGTTTATCATATGTCTAGGCAGACCAGATTACCCTTTCCCAAGAGCACCACTCATTCCACTACATTGTTTGAACTTCTGCATGTGGAT